ATAAATTTTTGGAGAAGGAGCTATTCAATAGAGCTTTTTACTTAATTCCCTTGAGAAATTACGACTTTCACGAAAATGCAACTAAAAAAATCTCTGCTTATTGACCAAGGAGAGCGACATGGAAACTTGCTATTCACTCAGGACCTTGGAAGGCCAGGAGGGGAATGGAGAACAGCAAGGAAGTGAGAAACTGTTTGCAAATTACAAAACAACATCAAGCTTGTGCCAGACTCTGTTGTAAGTTCTAAAGTTATACTACCAACAAGGTGGTAGAATCTCAAGCCATGAAATTAGTATAAAATCTGGTCCAAAATGACTGAAATGTTAATGGCTGTAGCAGAAGTAAACTTAAAACTGTTCAAGTACTCTGCAGGATTCATAAGTCTTTCCACGTGTGTGTGTGTGTGTGTGTGTGTAGGATGTCACTGAAAATGAAGCACAATCAAACAGCACAATCAAAACTTACACACATTAACAATCCAGCAATCTCAACAACCAATTTATTCCACACTTAATAAATAACAGTTATTAGATTTTATTTATTTTATTAGATTGTTCTAATCTAAGAGACTATAAAATAAGTTATTTTAAAATTATTAAGATAAAAGGAGAAAATTGAAATAAATTTTTAAAACTAGGGAAAGTATATAGAATAAGTGCTGGTAGAATTTGAATTTTTAAAATATAAACAAATATAACTTCTTAAATAAAAAAATACAGTCACTAAAATGAACAAGTTAAAGAGAAGATTAAATACAGATAAGCAGATTTTAGTGAAGTGAAAGAGGTCTGATCAAAAAGCACTCTGGACCAGGCACAGCGGCTCATGCCTGTAATCCCAACATTTTGGGAGGTCAAGGCAGAAGGATCACTTGAGCCCAGGAGTTTGAGATCAGGCTGGGCAACACAGCAAGACTCCATCTCTACAAAAACTTAAAAATAAAAAAATTAGCTGGGAGTGGTAGTACATGCCTGTGGTCCCAGCGACTCAGGAGGCTGAGGCAGGAGGACTGCTTAAGCCCAGGAGGTCAAGGCTGAAGTGAGCCATGTTCACACCACTGCACTCCAGCCTGTGTAACTGAGAGAGATCCTGTTTCAGAGGGGGAGAAAAAGCACTCTCAATGCAATAAGGAAAAGAAAAACAGGGAAGGGCAATTGGCCACTGGCCATACAGCACTCACACAAGACTTCAGGAGCAGTGTTCCCTGGGGAGAAAGCATGTCTGAAAATATCAGTAGCAGGTGTGCAGGTCTCCTGCTGCCCATGATACCCTGGAGCAGAGCACAGAAATCTGGCAAAACTCGCTGTCAGACATTTAAAAAGGGATCCCCATGATTGAGTCATGGAGCTTTTAAGTAAGGTACATGGAGAAGCACCGGTCCCTAGCCTGTCAGAGGCAGAAATACAACTACAAAGTGAAGTACAGAACCTTCAATATGATGTGTCAGAACCCTGTCCCTATCCCTATTCTGCTAGCCTGACACTCACTGTTGAGGCAACTCCTCTGCCTACCATGATCTGGAAGCTTTGTTCCAAGCCTTACAGGTATCACTATAAGATGGGATAATATGGTAGCAGAATATGCCACTTTCATGTGTATGGAACTTACCCATCTCTGGCATAATTAGGGGCCTCAGGTCCAAGCTTCATGGTTGACCAGGATGGTCTGCCCTACTTGGCCATAGCCAGTTTCAACAGAACTTTGCAAGAGGCCCAGCCCTTTTCTGAGCATACAGACTACCGGGGCTCAGTCCTGGATAAAATTAATCTCACTCCTCCAGCATATAATAAACAGTCATATGAGACTATCCAACCAACTTCAAATAAAAGTTCTCTATAAGAAGAGAACAGAGAGAATTAGGAGAGGCAGAGAAAATGGTCAAGAATTTTCCAAAACTGATGACTTGAGTCTACAAATTGAAGACATACATTGCATCCCAAGCCAGATTAATAAAAGCAAGACTATAACTAGAGATTTCGTAGTGAAACTATAGAAGAGCAAAGACAAAAATAAATCTTAAGAGCAACCAGAGAAGAATGACAGATAACCAAGAAAGGAATCAAATCAGGCCAAACAGTGAACTTCTGAGGTGAGTAGTCTCCATAGACACACCCCAACAATTCTCCTGATCCCTGTGAGAAAATGCTGCTTCTCAAGTCAAGAGTGCAGGTTCCCCTGACTCTAGGCTGGCCCTGTGAATGCTCTGATCAATAGAAGGCCACAGAAGTGGCATCTGAGATGTCGGCATCTAGGCCTTCAAAGGACTGACAAGTCATACTTCTTTCATTGTGCAAGTCTTGTCCTAAGATGCCACCCCTCAAAACGCAGTTTTGAGTTTTGGGCATCAAACCGGGTTAGATGCCCAGCCACACAGAATAGGCACATGGATGAGAACTGAAGAACAACAATTAATAGATCCAGCAGCGATTCCAACCAAAGCCAGCATTAACTGCCACTGAGTATGCCCATCTTTCATGTTCCACCTAAGTGAGGCCCCTAAGTAGAACTGCAGCCCCAACCAACGTCAAAAGGAAAAATTACTCAATTGATGCTAAGCAACCTACAGAATCAGGAGAGATCATAAAATGGTTGGTGTTTCAAGCCAACAAGTTTTAAGGTGGATTTTAAGCATCAATAGATAATGAAAACATTTCTCAGTAGTAATAAAAGATGCCAGAAGACAATTAAAAAGTATCTTTAAAGTGTTGTTGGAAAATAATGCTCAACCTAGCATTCGAAAACCAACTAAATATCTTTCTTTCTTTTTTTTTTTTTTTTTTTTTTTTGAGACGGAGTCTCGCTCTGCGCCCAGGCTGGAGCGCAGTGGCCAGATCTCAGCTCACTGCAAGCTCCGCCTCCCGGGTTTACGCCATTCTCCTGCCTTAGCCTCCCCAGTAGCTGGGACTACAGGCGCCCGCCACCTCGCCCGGCTAGTTTTTTTGTATTTTTTAGTAGAGACGGGGTTTTACCGTGTTACCCAGGATGGTCTCGATCTCCTGACCTCGCGATCCGCCCGTTTCGGCCTCCCAAAGTGCTGGGATTACAGGCTTGAGCCACCGCGCCAGGCAAAAACCAACTAAATATCTTTCTAAGGTAAGATCAAAATATATGTTTAGACACAGAAATAGTTAAAGTTCATCACTTATATGCCTTCACAGGAAGAAATACTAAGAACATATATGGATACAAGAAATAACTGAAAGCAATGAAATTTATAAATATGTTAGTAAATCTAAATAAGCACTGACTTGGTTAAAAATAAGACAGAGCTATAACATTAAATAGTATATAATCTGGCCAACTAGCTATTGTAATTTATATTCTGATGTTTTGAACTTGCACTTATGGTAACGCTAGCATACAGAAAATGTCCTAAAGAAACAACAACATATATGAAAGCATCTGCAAGATCTTGTACTCACCATCAGTTCTTCTCTTCTCCCTCCCCACTATCCCTCACACAGGAGCCTCCCATCTATCCACACCTGAGAAGGTCTCAACCCCAGCCATCAAGGAACAAAGAAGGGACATTTATAAGAGGAAAATGAAAGAGGGCAACCAAACAAGAGAACTCTCCTGGCATTGACCCAGGTAGAGAATTTGCTGATTCCTTCTTTTGATTACCTTTTATCTGCTTTGACATAATGAGAAATCATGCCATGGACCTGGAATATGAATAATAATTTTTAACAGTAAAGACCAAGGGATAACCAAAAAGCATCTTTAAAAGACGAAGCAAGGAACGCCTCATAACCATATGAACATTTTCTCCCCCATCTCGTTCTCAAAATACACATTTTCAATCTGCCTAGAGTCCCCAAAACACCAAAAGCAACTGCAACAAAAGCAAAAATTGACAAATGGGATCAAATTAAACTAAAGAGCTTCTGTACAGCAAAAGAAACTATCATCAGAGTGAACAGACAACCTACAGAATGGGAGAAAATACTTGCAAGCTATCCATTTGACAAAGGTCTAATATCCAGAGTCTACAAGGAACTTAAACAAACTTACAAGAAAAAAAACAAACGACCCCATTAAAAAGTGGGCAAAGGATGTAAACAGACTCTTCCGAAAAGAGGACATTCACGTAGCCAACAAATATATGAAAAAAAAGCTCAATATCACTGATCATTAAAGAAATGCAAATCAAAAACAACACAATACCATCTCACGCCAGTCAGAATGGCGATTATTAAAAAGTCAGGAAACAACAGATCCTGGTGAGGCTGTGGAGAAAAAGGAATATTTTTACACTGTTGGTGGGAGTGTAAATTAGTTCAACTATTATGGAAGACAGTGAGGCAATTCCCCAAATATCTAGAGACAGAAATGCCATTTGACTCAGCAATCCCATTGCCGGGTATATACCTCCCAAGATATAAATCATTCTATTATAAAGAAACACGCATGTGTATGTTCATTGCAACACTATTCACAATAGCAAAGACATGGAATCAACCTAAATGCCCATCAGTGAAAAAACAGATAAAGAAAATGTGGTACATATACACCATGGAATACTATGCAGCCATAAAAAGGAACAAAATTATGTCCTTTGCAGGGACATGGATGGAGCTAGAAGGCATTATCCTCAACAAACTAATGCAAGAACAGAAAACCAAATACCTTACAGTCTCATTTATAAGTGGGAGCTGAATGAGTACACGTAGACACATGGGGGAAATAGTACACACTGGGACCTGTTGGTGGGGCAGGGGGAGGGAGAACATCAGGAAGAATAGCTAATGGCCACTGGGTTTAACACCTAAGTCATGGGATGATCTGTGCAACAAACCACTGTGGCACATGTTTACCTATGTAACAAACCTGCACATCCTGCACATGTGCCCCAGAACTTAAAAGTTGAAAAACCTTTTTGCAGAGTCCCAAGTGTAAAAAGTAGAAAGTCAGGAACTTCAATTTTCAATTAACATAGAACTCAGTTATATTAGACAGTGATTAGACACTTTTTAAAAAGCTATTAAACATTACTTACTTTAACAGCAAATTTCTTAGATGCCATGGCTTACTGACTCCACAGTAACTACAAACCTTTAAGGAAAAAAAAAAGTTATAATTAGATACATTAAAATTTATTTTTATCTGGATATTATACAGGAAAAAGATTGGCTGAATAGTAAAATATCAATGGGTATTTATGAGATGAATGTTCACTTATAATTCCCTTAACCAAAATACTATATTAAATTACTAATTTAAGCACTGCTTGTAAAGAAAAGGACAGGCCCTGGCCAGGCATGGTGGCTCACACCTATAATCCCAGCATTTCAGGAGGCCAAAGTGGGAGGATCACTTGGGCTCAGGAGTTCAAGACTAAACTAGGCAACACAGCAAGACCTTATCTCTACAAAAAAAAAAAAAAAAAAAAAAAAAAAAGGGGGAGAAAAGCACAGGCTCAGATGGCTTCCCTGCTATATTCTACCAAATCTGTAAAGAATAATTTAAACCAATCCCTCATAAACTCTTTAAAAAAAACAGAAGCATAAGAAAATTTCTCAAATAATTCTGAGGCCAGTGTCATCCTGATACCAATACCAGAGAGAGACATCATAAGAAAACCACACATCAATGTCCCTTATGAAGACCTAAAAATTCTCAACAAAATACTAGAAAATCAAACACAGCAACATGTAAAAAAGATTATACACCATGATCAAGTTGGATGTATTCCAAGAATGCAAGGATAGTTTAAGATCTGAAAATTAATCAATATAATACACTCTATTAATAACAGAAAAAAATGCACATAATCATCCCAAATACAAAAAAAAAAAAAAACCCAAAACACTTTTTTAATTTAAAAAAAAAAAAAAGCCAACACAATAGGAATAGAAGGGACTATCTCAACCTGATAAAAGATATTTAGGAAAAACGAAGTGCTAAAATCATACTTAATGATGAAGACTAAATGTTTTCTCCCTTAAGATGAGAGACACATCTTTACAAGAAATGTCTGCTCTTGCCACTTCTTTTCATTATTGTACTAAAGGTTCTAACTAAGGCAATTAGGCAACAAAAAGAAATAAAAAGCATCCAGATTAGGAAGAAAGAAATAAACTGTCTATTCATAAACAACATGTTCTCATACATAGAAAACCCTAAGAAATCATCAAAAAACTACTAGAATTAATAAGTTCAGCAAGGTTGTAGGATATATGATAAATATTTTTAAATCTACTGTATTTCTACATACCAACAATAAATAGTCCTAAAATAAAATTTAAAGAAAAATTCCATTCATAATAACCTGAAAAAGAATACTTAGGAATAAGTATAACAAAAGTACAAGATTTGTACACCAGCAGTCATAAAATACAATCGAAAGAAATTAAAGACTTAAGTGGAAAGATAACCCATGTTCATGAATTGTTAAGACTTAATGCTGTTAATATAGCAATATTCCCAAATTGTTCTCAGATTCAATGCAATCTCTATCAAAATCCTAGCTGACTTATTTACAGAAATTAACAAGTTTATTCCAAAATGTACATAAAATTGCAAGAGCTCTGGAGTAACAAAAACAATACTGAAAAAGAAGAATGAAATTGGAGAAATTCAGGCTTCTCAATTTGAAAGCTTACTATGGTTGGACGCAGTGGCTCATGCCTGTTAATCCCAGCACTTTGGGAGGCCGAGGAAGGTGGATCACGAGGTCAGGAGTTCGAGATCAGCCTAGCCAACATGGGGAAACGCCATCTCTACTAAAAATACAAAAATTAGCTGGGTGTGGTGGCATGCACCTGTAATCCCAGTTACTTGAGAGGCTGAGACAGGAGAATCACTTGAACCTGAGAGGTGGAGGTTGTAATGAGCCAAAATCATGCCACTGCACTCCAGCATGGGTGACAGAGCAAGACTCTGTCTGAAAAAATAAATAAATAAATAAAAGCTTACTACAACATCACAACAATCAGAACAGTATGGTACATGCTGAACATCCCTTACAGAAATGTTTAGGACCAGAAGTGTTTCAGACACAGGATTTTTTTCAGATTCGGAATATTTACATATACATGATGAGATATCCTGGGGATGAGATACAAATCTAAATACAAAATTCACTTATGTTTCATATATACCTTATACAGATAGCCTGAATTTTATATATTTTTATGATTTTGTGCATGAAACAAAGTTTTGACTGCATTTTGACTACAGACTGTCATGTGAAGTCAGGTGTGGAATTTTGTACTTGTGGCATCATGTTGGCATTCAGAGAGTTTCAGACTTTGCAGGATTTCATATTTTGGATTTTCATATTAGGGATGCTCAACCTACACTAGCACAAGAACAGACATATAGGCCAGGCACGGTGGCTCACACCTGTAATCTCAGCACTTTGGGAGGCTAAGGCGAGCAGATCACTCGAGGCCAGGAGTTTGAGACAACCCTGGCCAACATGGTGAAACCCTGTCTCTACTAAAAATGCAAAAAATCAGCCAGGCATTGTGGTGCGCACCTGTAATTCCAACTACTCGGGAGGCTGAAGCACGAGAATCAGTTGAAAGCAGGAGGCAGAGGTTGCAGTGTGGCAAGATCACGCCACTGCATTCCAGCCTGGGGGACAGATTGAGACTCTGTCTCAAAAAAATAAATAAAAGACATATAGGTCAATTGGAATAAACTTGATAGAAATAGAGCCTTAAATTCATGTTCAATTGATTTTCAACAAGGGTACTGAGATAACTTGATGGGAAAATAGTTGTTTCAACAAATGGTTCCAGGACAACTGGGTATCCATATGCCAAATAATAAAGTTGGACTGCTACATCACACTATGTACAAAAAGTTAATTCAAAATGGATCAAAGACCTAAATATAAGAGCTACTATAAAAATCTTAGGAAAAAAACATAGGCATAAATTTTTGTGACCTTTCGTTGGGCAACAGTTTCTTAGATATGATACCAAAACAGAAGTGACAAAAGCAATTAGTACGTTAGATTTTATCAAAATTAAAAACTTTTATACTTCAAACCAAGAAAGTAAAAAGATAATACACAGAATAGAAAACAAGTCTGCAAATCATACATCTGATGAAGGACTCATGTCCAGAATATATAAAGAACTCAACTCAATAAGAGGAAAAATAACTCAATTTAAAAATAAGCAAAGAATTTGCATTCCTTCAAAGAAGATCTACAAATGACCCATTAAGCACATGAAAAGATGCTTAACATCATTAGCCATCCAATAAATGCAAATCAAAACCACAATGAGATATTACTTTATACCCATTAAGATAAATAGCTAAAATCAAAATGACAAATAATAACAGATGTTGGCAAGGATGTGAATAAACTGGAACTCTCATACATTGATGGTAGGAATGTAAAATGTAGCCACTTTGCACAACAGTTTGATAGCGTTTCAAAATTTACAGAGTTGCCACATGGCCCAGCATTTCCATTCCTAGGGATATAACCAAGAAAAAAAACAACAACTCCATACAAAATAATTATACAGGAATGCTCACAGAAGCACTACTAATAATCGTCGAAAAATGGAAACAACCCAAATGTCCATCCACTAATGAACAGATAAACAAAGTGTGATATATCATACAATAGAATATTATTTGGCAATAAAAAGGTAAATATTCCCCTTTACTGTGCTCAGCCAGGCAACCACTTTTTCTCACCCTGGCACAAAACCGGAGTATTTTCTGGAGAGGGTAAGACAGAGGATCTCTAGTCTGGAAAACACTAGGCACAGTAGAAGGTGGAATCTTCTGAACAAAGAGAAATTAGGGAATACAAATGGAGACCTTCCTCTGCCTGCATGCCTCTCTACCCTGCCTACACTCTCCAGAGAGCAGACTAAAACATCCCTATTCAGAGAATTGGACTAACCTAAAAGACAGTGTCTAAAAATACAGACATAGGGGTTCCCCAAGGAAACAGCCTAAACAGATGGCTCTTAAGTGAAGTCCAGATCCATAAGCCCCACACCCATATGCAGAGATTCTAGTTCTCTTTTAATGTTCCACTCTCAAATATAAGTAAACAAGCAGGAACCACCTGCCACCTAAAGCAAGATTATATTATGAAAGAAAAACAAACAGAGAAAAAAAACCTACTTGGCTGAAACAAAGTATGGAGGGAGAAGAAAACATTTTTTAAAAATTATCATTAGGAAGGTTGCAGATACTGCAGCCATAAAGAAAAAAAAAAAAAAATGACAACAAAAAAAGAGACTCTCAGAAGACAACAAACTAAAACAATGATAGTTGAATTTTTAAAACTTAATAGAATGGTTGAAAGATAACATGATGAAATCTCTCAGAAACTTCAGCCAAAAATAAAAAAAAAAAAAAAGGAAAGAGAAAATAAATTAAAATTAAAAGACCAATATAGGAGGTCAAACACATGAAAATGATTATAGAGACTGACCCATATTAGAGCATCTATCACAGCGAAATTTTAGGTGTTGGGAATAAAAAAATTTTCTTTTAAGTGTGTGTGGGGGGTAGTAGGAGGTGCAGAACACAAAGGATCAGGAGTCAGAATTGGTTCCAAACTGCCCAAATATAGAGAGAAATATCTTCAAAATTCTGAAGAAAATTGTTTCCAACCTCAAATTGGATTTAAACTACAGGGGAGAAAAAAAAATTATTAGACATGCAAGTTCTTATAAAACTGTTTCATGTATTTTTTCTCAGGAAGCTACTAAAGATGTGCTTCACCAAAATGAGGAAATTAAGCAAGAAAGAGGAAACAGGAAGGGTGAGACAGGAGAAAGGCAGAGGAAAGCTGAGGATCTGGTGAAAGGAGGCCTCCATGAGAGCCGTGGGTAGACCACAGGGGAAGCGCAGGTGCGGACCAGAGCAGGCTGCAGGGGAGAGGCACATCCAGGAAGATCTACGGACACACGCACACACGGATGAGTTTTAGACAACTGGTGAAGAATATGAGATTGAATTAGGGCAGGTACATGGAAAGCTAAACAGCAGAAGAATAACAAGGCAATTACTGATTCCACCATAAACAAAAACTGCAGTAAATAAAGAGTGCTTAATACACAGCTGAGTTA